AGGTACAGAGAGAGAGAGAGAGATAAGGAAAATGGAGAAAATCTCACCCAATTCAATGAAACGGGACAAAAGCAGGTGATTGGGAGGAAGAGCGAGCGTGTGTTCATACGTATGGGCCGTGCAAGCGGCGTGCACAAAGCGTGAGTCTTTGCACTTGCATGCAGAAGCGGAAACAGATGAAGGGGAAAATAAAAGTGCTGCATTTCCCAGCATGCAGCTGGTGCAGCGCTGCCCCCCGTTTTGCCCCCGGCCAACACCAGCTTCCATTTCGCTTCCTCCGCCCTCCTCACACCGAGAAGCGGTGATGAACTCTGGGCCCCCTGACTAATGGAATGGGCCCTCGCTCTCAACCATTAGAGGATTGGTGTCCCTTTTGGCACCCCTTAGTGCCCCCAATGTACAGAAATAAGTACGGCCGGGGCGAGCGAGGAGATAGTGGCAGGTTAGTCTTTTTTTTTCCTTTTGCTCAGCACACACACACACAAACATCTGACTGTAATGTAACAGCCTGAAGTAATCCAGTCAGAATAAGGCTTTGACATAGCTTAGCATCTGACTGGGGCTACATTAAAAAACCTGAATCAGGTGCAACGCTAAGAGCGATCAGAGGGAGAGCCATGTGAATGTGTTCGACAGAGAGTCTCGGGTGATGCTGGAGTGTTTGTGTGATTTCATTTAGCTGGCACACCCAATGCTCTACCTCAATTACATCTTTACTGAGACGGAATACACACCTCGACGGTGCAGAGAAGAAGAAAAAAAAGGAAGGAGAGGAGAGGGAGGGGATGGAGGGCGGATTGAGGTCTGAATCCCTCGATGAGCTGATCGCGTCCGCAGACAGTGAGCCAAGCTGCGGTGCGGTAATGTTATGTTAATGTTATGGTAATGACATGCTAATCTGCCGGCAGTATTCCAACACGACGGGATGGCAGGGGAGGCCTTTCACCATTGGATGGAGACCAGGGACTTCCTGAAGTCAGAGTTCAAGACAAATCCTGCACAAACACACTCACACATCTATAGGCACACAAAAAAACAGGAGTTTGATTATTGTAACGCTGTGATTTCATCTTAAAATAAAAGCAATGACAACTGCACGTCTAATCTTCCTTTAATCGGATTTGCAGGCTCTTAAATAAGCACAGAAACAATACGTGGAAAACAAACGACGCGGCTTAAAACGGGGTCGGCTGTAATGTGAGGAAGCTTTATCGACATGTAGCATCACGCCGCAGGGCTGTTGTTTTGTGCTGATATAACGGAAAACAGAAAAGCATCCGTTTCTGATTGTGATCAGGTTCCTTTTTTGCTTTTGTTTTTTGGAATCCCTGGATCAGTTGATAGCTGCCATTACCTGTGCAGACAGAATAATGTTTGTTTTTTACTGATGTGATGACAGCCCGACGTAACAGCAGCCATGTCTGAGGATGAGACTGATTAACATACGGTCATATATCACGTTACTATAATTTACTGCTCCACATCCTTTTGGGAATACGGTTATCCACCGTTTAATATAAAGGATTCCTTGACAAATGTTTGGGGAAAAAAAGCTATTTTTCTTTTAAATGCGTGAAGATAACAGAAAAGGCTTCATTCTGTCATCAGGAAACAAAAACGCACAACAATGCATCACAGTAAGCCATGTCCACGTAGCAGGAACACGTCATCTCAGGTCTTATCCCTGCTTTCTTTTTCGTTTTTTTTGCGTCTTTTAGTTACAAAATGAATACGTCAAATCTGCACAACAGCGACACACAATGACATTTTCCTGGATGCCGTACGCTAGATCAAAGAGACCATCAATATGTTGAGTGCCAGCATGGAGACATTTGATTCCCATTCCAGTCCTGCGGCATTAGTGCGGGAATGCCAACACACATCACCCTCCTCTCAAGCTGGCGCTTGGCTTGTCAGACTTTTTTCTCTTCCGCTTCGACGTTTTTAAAACTACTTCATATATCAGAGCAAACTGTGAAGCCTGGAGATTTCCTTCACATACATGATATTTGCTGTGAGAAGAGGAGGAAATCACAGGTGACACAATTAAAATAGGTTTGACTTAACAAAGGCGATTTGGTGTCGCTGACATTTAGGATCAGCCTCTGGCGACAGGCATGTAAAGGAAGCCAGTCAGCAGATTGGACCTGGAGAGAGGGAGGGGTGGGTCATAAAAATGGAGGACTGTCTGTGGCTCATCAGTGGATATATATTTCGTGTTGGGTTAGAAATTAGTGCTAACTGTAAATTCACATTGTAAATGGCTCCGCTGGATCTTATCACTCAGAAAACAAAATAAAAAAAGTAAAGATAACAGAACCTATCATTATTTTATTGATTATTACTAAGCTTCAATTTGGGAACAAAATGGTTAAAAAAAAACACCATGAGATAAAGATGGAGGTTTTGTGAGCACACATGTGGGACAATAAGAGCGAGAGGGGTGGGTGAGGGGGTCATAAAAATGGAGGACTGTCTGTGGCTCATCGGTGGGTATTTTGGTGTTGGGTTAAGAGCAGATTATACTTCTGCAACCATACACATCAAATGTCACTTGAGTCTGATCGTTAACCAGTTTTGCTGGTATGCTTCTGTGCCGTCAGTCAGAATTTTTTCTAGGGACGCACAGCAGTTTCCCGCTAAAGTGCAAGGAGGAGCCTATTTGAGGACTCGCAAGAACTTTGGCGGATAGTCATGAGAACTTCAATGGAGCATCTGCAAGATATCAGGGTCACGGAGATGGATCTAGAGTTGCTAGAAATCGAAGAGGAACAGGTTCTGCTAATGGAGCTGGCAAAAGGACAATGGAGGACGCATAGGTTGTCCATTGTAGTTGTTCCTCGGTTTTTAAAAATGGCGCGCCACGGCACCGAATCGAGGACGACCACACAGACAGCCGGAAAGGCATAGCAAGGACCAATCACAACTGCTTTTTGTCTGCGCGGCTCTGCGACCGTCCGACACGTAGTTTTTTTTTAGGTGTGCGACGACGGTTGCAGAGCCTTTGCTTGGGGGGCGTGGTCTCGGATAGAGACAGATTTGATGGTTGCAGAGGCTTTGTGTCAGAAGCATAAATTGGCCTTTAGAAATGAATGCACCTCACAGATGTACAAACTGCAAATTCACATTGTAAATGGCACCGCTGCATCTTATCACTCCAAAAACAGGATAAAAGAAGTGAAGCTAACAAGAATTATCATTATTTTATTGATTATTACTAAAAAGCTACAGTTTAGGAACAAAATGCTTAAAAAAACCACTATGAGATAAAGCTGGAGTGTTTATGAGCCCGCATGTGGGACAATTGGAGCGAGAGAGACGTGCAAAGAGGAAGACACAGGGGTGGACTGTCTAATACACTCCTGATAAAGGTCAAAGTCATGTTTTATTCATGATCCAGGCGGCGGCGGCAGAGCAGCAGGGCCAAGGTTACAAAGAGCTGCCGCCCCCTTATCCCCAGAGGAAAAGCAGCGCTCAGACCCCCCACCCCGCCCCCCCACCTCTGGCTGACGGACAATCCCAATAACTTAAATCAATACTGTCTAAAAGCACACGTACCTTCCAGCAGCTCAAATCAATAAGTCAAATCTGAAAATGGATGAAAGGCTGGAATAAAATGAAAGCTACGCTAAACTCTTAAGAGATGAGATCTAATACAGAGACTTTAGAGGAAAGCTTTTGGATTTTATGAATACTAGGTGCGCATGATACATCAACAATATCGATATCGTACTGTATATAAATATAAAGGTACTGTATACCTTTATAAATGCTTTTAATCAAAGCAGACAGCAATAGTTTAAAATTATATATTTTCAAAGGGACCTTTCTCTGGCACCTCAATAAAAGGACCATAAACTGGTGGGAAAGTTTGCTCTAAAATGTTTGCTTTCTTTTAAAAACAAGATTTCACTCCCATTTAACCATAAGTACTAACCAGTTGTTGACGAGCTTTACATAGCTTCCCTGCTGTAGTTTTAAAGCAACGTTATCTTAATAAGAGATATGAGTGTCTTTGTTTTAGAAACATTTCCCATAAAGATAAATTTATCTTTCTTATGACTGAAGGGAAGCTGCTGTAGCCGTCTTTAAGCCAGCTTTCCAGCAGTACGCAGCCACAGATGCAGGAGAGGAAGCAGTGTATTCCCAGAATACACAGGGTATTCCCAGATGCTTTTTAAGAAAAACTAATATTTCTCTTTAACCTAAAACTAACATGTATGCTTTGTTTTTTTAAAGTAATGGAAAGAGTCACTGGAGTGATTTGATGGGCTTTTAAAATATCATGCAATATTTTTGATTTGCTTGGTATTTTTGATCAAATAATGGTTCCAACATTCCTGAATGTAACAGAACAAAAAGAGAACGCGCGTGATTTTGTCACACATCTTATTTCTCAGATCATTCCAGGAACCTTTTCAGGAAGAGATTTAATTCACATCTATGTGTCTCATAGCCTTAAAGTCCTTCCTCTGTCACACAATAGGAATTTAACCTCACCAAAACCTGCTTTTAGGCCTGTTTTTTGTCTTTTTCCAAAGTAACATTTGGAGTATTTGAAAAATTTGGCGAAAAAGATGAAAACTTTGTTGAAGAGTTAAAGATGCAATCATTTCCAGTGGCATCCAGTTAATTCCTACACCACAAGTTCCTCACAGCAGAAATGACTTGGCCCAAGATATTTTGTGTATTTGTGTAAGACGTGTCATTGTGGGAAACATTGTATGTCTTCCCCTATGTGTAGGCGTGTGTGTGGGGCGGGGTGTGAGTGTATTACTCTATAAAGGCACTTCTCTGAGCGTCTTTGATCAGATATGAAATATTCTGAAATGCTGCTGTAATTTGATGAAAGTCAGATATCACTCAAGTAGGAGATACAGTAGAAGTCAGCACTTTGGCAGCTCTTGAAAAGAAGAAAAAAACACACACACACCAGAAGGGGTTTGCAACTGCAGCCCCATAGGTGGAGGTAATAAAAGGAGATTTAAACAAGCTCTGACCCGCTGAATGAACTCCAGCCCATGTTGCGCGGCCAGAGAGTGGGCAGCTTTGGAGCCTCCTTTCATTTGGACAGCATAGAAGACCTGGCGCTTGGTCCCATGATGCCCCTCTGTGGTGGCAAGGCTCCTCTGCAGTAGGAAGCAGCACACCAGCAAGGATGCACTGAACATGAAGCCTTTAAAGGAGAAAACAAACTTTTTTGAAATACATTTTTTGTTATAAACATTTAAGCATACTAAATAAATGATAAAACATTACTTTCTTTTATAAATCATCAGATTAAATTTGAAGCTCTTTCGGACATATACATATAAACACTTCATAATTCTTTGCAATAATCTATCAATATGCACTTTTCTGCAATCAGCATGTTTTCTAATAATAAATATTAAACACAAATGTTTACTGTTTACAGGATACACTCCCTTCCTTCTTTCTGCATACACCGAAAAAAAATTATGCAACCGTTTTTTGGCTTTTGCTTAATCATATTTACTTACTTTAACACAATTGTTTATGTTAGCAGGGTAGGACATAAGACAATTGTGTTAAAGTAACTAAATATGATTAAGTAAAAGCCAAATGCGGCAGCATTATTTTTTCAGTGTAAGGTCCTGACGAAAAAATACGTTTAAAATGTAAATTTTTATAACAACCTCCAACAGTTATTAGTCGAATTCAAACACCATCACTAAGCACAGAAATTAGCTTTTAGAGTGGGATCCAGCAGACTAATGAACATTGGCAGTTGTGAAGCAGTTTGCCCACAGCCACCTCCTCTGTACTTTTACATAAAATCCACTGTGGCTGCCACCTACAAGATGCGAGCCACCCACCTGTAGCCACACAGACCAAAAACATCCAGGAGAAATCTCTCACCCTGCGTGATGAAAGCGGGAACTCTGGCATCGGAGGGGCCCCGAGCGAGACAACACGCTCTCTCCAGTTCCCAACCCACACGTTTAATCTGCTGGCCTTGATGCAAATACTTCTGAGAGGATGAAAAAAAAAAAAAGAAGAAAACTGCTGCACTGAGCGAACTAACTTCCCTGTTTAAGCAAAACAGGAACTTCACCAGCCTTATTTTTATGCTGGTATTTTCCTCTGAACAATGATGGAACAAAAAAATGTGTTACCTCACTCTTATCTGCTAAAACTAGTCAAGAAAATTACTGTAAACCGATGGCCGAGACGTGAAACGCTTAAACTTCCACAAACTTCACAGCGTCATGCAGGATATTAGATAGAAAGAAGCAGTGACTAATCTAACAAACCTCTGTCCTGCTGATGCATCCTTTAAGTGATGGCAGATGGGTTTACACCTCTTAAACTGTTTCATAGTTTTAATACCATCTGGACTTAAACTGGGTGGTTTTGACAGACGTCTGTTTAATACCTCTGTCCTGCTGGAATGGGAACTCCACCCTACTCTCAACTCTTCTGCAGCTAATAAGTTTTCTCATCTGTGTTTTGCTCCATCTGTTTGTTTCCAATCAGCCTCTCTATCCCGACTTGAGAACAGTATCCCCACAGCATGATGCTCCCACCTCTGTCATACAGCTTTGTTTCATCTGAAGCGTTTGGCATGTAGGCCAAAAGGTTACATTTTAGTATCCTCTGGTGTTTCCTAAGTCACTTTATATGGATTTTGGGAAACATTAAACAAATCTCTTTATTGTTTTATGTCTACAGCAGATGTCACGGATTAGTGGAGCGCAGTCCGGATCCGGATCCACCTGCTGGCTAATCCAGACCCAACCCGATTTAAAACATTTATAAATTACTGCATGTTGTCTGACGGCAGTGTCTAACTTCACTTGCGGCACTTCTCCTGTTTGTAGTGTGTTCGGCACCAGGCTGCAAATGATACAAATGATCCAATGAGCTGTCAGTCTGGGTTGCTGCTGCTGCTACTTTAGACACGGCAGGCAAACCTGTGGCAAGCCAGGCAATGGGAAAAAAAAGAGAGCAGAGAAAGTGTGGACTGCTGGAAGAACTGAGGTGAAGTGGTGAAAGAAAGTCAAATGTCATGCTCAAAGATGACCCCGCACATTTAGAGGATGTTTGGCTCAACCTGCTGCTGTGAAGCAGGATTCTCCACCATGAACAGAATCAAAAGTAAATATCAATCCAGGCTCAAAATTAGCACCTTGATATGGGCAGCCTAAAGCCCACTGCTCTCATTAAGCCATAACAAAGAAAAAAACAAACAAACGGTCAGTTCTGGTGTTTCATAAAATATGTAAATCAGGAAATTGTCTATATACCAATCTGAACGATTGTTCTCTACTTCAAAAAACACTTTAGTTTTTAAAATGGAAAAAAAAATTAAATAGTTTTTTATTTAAAAATCTAATGTATAACATGGATGCATAAAAACCTAATTTAATTTCAGTGTTAAATTCTGTTTAAAGTATCAGATTATAATTAAAAGGTCTCCGGACCTTTACTGGTTGTTGATTTTCTTTATTCGGACCCCGTTAAATTTTAAGTGGTCACCCCTGCTATACAGCAATTCTTTTTACTCCTTATGACCATAGAGGTTAAGTTTGAGTTGTTGCGCTAGCTAATCCACCCATCTGAGCTACACCTCTCTGCAGCTCCTCTAGAGTTAGACTTTGACAGACTCTATTGCAATTTTGTACACACAAAGTGTATACAAAACGATATTTTGTTCAGTACATCTCTCAAGACATTTTCATTTCTAAAGTGCAGCAGTGAAAAAAGGTAAAAATGGTGATCAATGAAAACAAAAGACTGGTAAATGATTTACAGGTTTCTAACATTCAGCTTTTTTTTTTTTTACTATGGGCCTCCTGGGTATTATTATTATTATCAATGCTCTAATTTATGGTTTACATTGTGGGACATCCTCAGGTCTTAAGAAAAACAAAAAGCTAATGGATAGCAGGTTGGTTTTGTGAAAAAAGTTTGCATTTCATAGGAAAAAAAGCTGTCAGGTCTTAGGGAAAAACACTAACACGTCTTAGGTTTAACAATATTACAATTGTCAGGTCTTAGGAAAAAAAATCCCTGGTCTCGGGTCCTAGGAAAAAAGTTTGCAAGTCTAATTAAAAAATAAATAACAGGCCTTTTGAAAAAAATTATCAAGTCTCTTAGGAAACAGGCTGTCAGGTTCATATGAAGATGTTGTCAGATGTCGGGAATAAAGTTCTCAGGTCTCAGGAAAAGTGTTGTCAGGTCTTTGGAGAAAGATTCTCAGGTCTAAGGAAACAAGCTGTCAGGTCTTATGAAAAACGTTGTGAGGTTTCAGGGATAGTTGTGCAATTTCTTTGTTTCATTTAACCTGTTCAACCATTTCTTTGTTATTGTGATATTTTCAGAAAGTATTTATCCAAGAAATTGGGATGAATTGGTAGCTTACATAAATATATTTTTTTTGACTACTTCTAACAATTAGAAATGGATTGACATCCCCAAAAAATGTGATAGTTAGCCACCCAGATTCAGTTCGTTTCAATTCAGTTTATTTCTATAGCGCTAATTCACAACACGTCATCTCAAGGCACTTTACAGTTCAACCAGATCATCCAGTCAAATTGATTCAAATTTTTCTATCTAAGGAAAACCAGTTGATTACATCAACTCATTGACTCAAATGCAATCTCCCTCACACTAAGGACGCTTGTAGTGACAGTGGAGAGGAAAAACTCCCTTGATCAATCAAACTGTTACCAAATCAGGTCAGGAGGAACACGCAGACATCTTTCCCATTCAAAAAGGTACAAATACCGTTTCTTTGCTTGTTTTTCAAAGATACATAGTGGGTATTCCAACTAAAATGGACACAGGCATCTTCTGGCAAGATGCATGTACAGGAAAGTCACAAATCTTGCAACAATTCATCTTGTTGCAAGATAATCTCCCATGTACTTTTAATAATGCATTTAATAAAGATCGTTTTGACATCAGTTTACGGTAACTGATTTTTTGGAGCATTACTTTAGGTTTAAATTATTTTCTCTTCCTCCAATCATGCAGCAAAAATTATACAACGAAAAAAGAATGTTAAACAAGTGTAAATTATTTTTAAAGAGAAAAATAGATTTAAAAATCAATGGATGGAAAAACATAAACAATGGACGGCAGATAAAGGGAGTGGCAATCCATGTGTTTAATATGATCTGTAGACATGGCAACTAAGTGTGCAATGAATCAGAAGAAAAAAAAGAAAAAAAACCCCACAAACATCGGCCTAAAATATCGGCCAACTGATGTATCTCTATGCATCTCTATTATAGATATGAAAAAGTTGACGTTTTTTTGTAGGACTCTAGGCATGAATGTGTATCCCACCTTTGCAGGCATCACAAAAGATTTTGCGATAGGTTTTTAATCAAATGTCTACTGAATACATGTTCACCCTTATATATTTTTATCCTCAATAAATGTTGAAAATGTATAAATGAAATAAGCCCTCATCAAGAAATTCAAAGATGTCAAGATGTGTTGCAACATTTTTACATCAGAAACCTTTTCAGGTTCATGTCGATTACTTCTCTGTTCCCCGTTTTTACATTGTGATGCCCAAAAAACACACAAACACAGAGCAAAAACTCCAAAGTCAGAAGATTAAGACGTCTCTTTGTCGAAGTAATTCTGTCTGTGTCTTTATCTGACTTCGCATCAGAAGCAAAGAGCCCCCTCCTGCGGCATTTCTCCACCAAACAACAAACAACATAGCTGACCACTGTTTAAAGTCTACAGCATCACTCAGCTCCTATCTCCCAGGCCTCTGATTGAAATCGATAGCCTCACTAGGGGCTCAAGTCCCGGTCAATCCAATGTTTGTGTGTGTTGTGTGTAAGGGGGGGGATACCACCAGCATACACATTACCCAGCCAGTAGCTGGCCTCTGGCAGAGACAAAGTAGACAGGGAGAGAGGGAGGCAACACAAGTACAGCGAAACCACACTGAACAATGTCAGGGCCCCGGGGCCTACTGGGACTCTGATAAAGTACCTGGACATTTTTATAGACAAACTACTTATTTCCGTCCTCATATTGCTTGGGAAGACAGATAACTTTATATTCCTCTCAGGCAGGGGAATGAAAGAGGAAGGGGGGCCCTTTCAGGAGTTTAATTGATCAAACTAAAGCCACAAGGGGTTTTGTTTAAGATAAAACAGACTAGCAGTCTCCCCTGTACAATACAGAGATCTTTCAGAGAGCAGAGCCATAAAAAAAAAAGATGTAACTCATTATGCAAAGTCATTACCAGCCTCCTCTATAGTTCTTAAAAGAGGAGGAGTTAATGGTGAAACTGTGCTGTCAAGGGTGTTCAAAAGGTCACTAAAGTGGTCCTACGATAACATACATTACGATGTCCACATTATCATTATTCTTAGCATTTTTTTGGAAGTTTTAAGGTCATGTTTAAAAGTCACGTCTACTTTAGAGCCTCACACTGGAAAGTAACCATTTTAGAAAAGCATGTTTAGGATCAGGCTGGTAAAAGTCACAATTAAAACAAGAAGCTCATCTGTTCACATTCAGAACTTACAATAATGTATAAGTTCAAACCAGGGAGTGGGAGACTTATGATAAATTATGCAGTAATGAGGTTTTTAAGAGTGTTTCTGAACCTGCTTCTTCGCCATTCAGTATTACGTGGTGTTATTTGTTAAGCTGGAACAAATAAAGTCCTTCAGAACAGCCGATGTCACTGCCTCCATTGTTAACAGCACAAATAAGGAAGCATCGTCAACACGGTTTTGAGTGTAGGTATCTGCCCTTGTTCTTCTCTGTTTTGCTACTCCTCATCCTATAAGGTTCATTAAGAACATATTTAAGCATGTTTAAAAAAAAAAAAAAAAAAAGTTTTAGACTAAGAAGCTGCACCAAAATATGTCATATAAAAATGTATGAGTTGGTGTAAAAGGGGAGGTTTAAGAAAATCATGTTAAATATCAGAATATTGTATCAATTTCAATGCCAATATTTCGATATTTCATTGGAAATAATCG